CAAGTGATGCACAATGCAGTTGCTCACCACCCGCTGACCAACACCCAGCCAGTTCCTGAGCAGCGATCACAGCCCCCCCAGCCGACTCCCCCCAGTGTGTATACTGAGCATGATATCATATGGTATGGAATAGCCCTTGGGTCAGTTTGGATCAACTGTTCTGGGTGGGGAGCTATGCACCCTCCCAGCTTCTGGTGCACCTGGCAGAGCATGGGAAGCTGAAAAGTCCTTGACTAGCATAAGCAGTACTTAACACACTGATGTTTTAGTTGTTGCTATCAACATTATTCTCATACTAAATCCAAAACACAGCACTATGCCAGCTACTAGGAAGAAAATTAACTCTATCCCAGCCGAAACCAGGGCAGGTGGAACAACCCCAGCTCCCCCGCTTGCCTCCACATGCCTTAACCTGTGCCTGGCATCCCTTTCCAGTTCATCAGCCTGCAGGAGAGCAGCCAGCCCAACTCAGAGGGCTCAGGGGACGAGGCCATCGCGCAGCTGTGGCTGCAGCACAGCCTGCAGTGCCACTGCCTGTCGGCACAGCTGAGACCGCTCCTGGGGAACCGGCAGTACATCAGGAAATTCTACGCAGGTAAAGAGAAACGGGTGGTTTTCTTCTTATTAGGAAAATATCTAGCTGGTGGCATTTCCAAGCCACACGGGAGTGAGGGGGATGCAGGGAGGCAGAAAAGATGGTTTGCATGTAAGCAGACGGCGCTGCCAAACCACGTGGGTGAGAGGGACCACCCCCAAGCAGCAGTTTTCTCTCCCCAGACACTGCCTTCCTGCTCAGTGACGCCCACGTCACGGCCATGCTGCAGTGCCTGGAGGCTGTTGAGCAGAACAACCCCAGGCTTCTGGCTCAGATCGACACCTCCATGGTGAGTTGAGGTCCTGGCTTTTCTATTTGGCTCTCCCCAGACGCTGGCTGGCTGTGGCTGCTTGTGCGAGGTCTTATTCAGGGCACGCGGAGCCCTTGGACAAGGGGCTGGACTTGGAAGCAGCAAAAGGAGCTCCAAGAGGGGAGAAGAGCGGAGAACTGGTCCCTGCGCTGCCTGCGTGAGCTTGGCAGGGGTTGGGGTGGGGGAGATGGCTGTGTGGAGCCTGTAGTGGGGTACCTCACTTCTGGCTGGCATCAAGGATTTGAGTATGAGGACCTGAGGACCAGTTCCTCGTAAGAGGCACCTCTAAAGCCCTCTCCAACAGCCCCAGACTTCAGGGCCACCAAGCAGAGCTGCCTGGTCATGAGGGACAGCCACCATCAGAGGGGACGAGCAGCACTCCAGGACACCTGGGTGCCCACTCCTGCTGGTGACGCCAGCGACCCCCCGTGCAGCCCCGTGCCAGCTGCCCCCTCCTCAGAAGAGGGAACAGCGGCTGCTTTCTTTGCACAGAGCTCCCCAGAGGAAGGCAATTAATGAGGCTTTGTTAAATGGGGGCTGTGTTCTTTCAGCTGGCTGGCACGTCACTGCCATCCCTGTGCGCATCAGGTCCTTCTGCTGGGACAGGAGAGATGTGTGACCATGATGCTGAAGGACAGGAGAGCCGTCTGCCTGGGGCGCTGGGCTGCCTGGATCATTTTGCTGAGAGCCTGGTAATTTCCTGACGAGAGCCTGCGTGTAGCTGTGAACAAAAAGCCCCTTCCCTTTTGCACTGTGAGGTTTTCCCTTCCCCATCCTCCTGCCCCCAGGGCTGCTGCATCCTTTGCTGGCTGGTGACCAGGCGCTTGCAGGTCATTTCCTTTCCATTGCTGCTCCTTTGATGTGTAGCCCCAAGCCCTGTAAATGCTGATTTATTAACGATGCCACCTCTCTTCAGCTTACCAGAAAGAGTGAGGGTCCACCTCCGGTGACCAAGAGTCAGAGCCTGACTGCCCTCCCCGCATCCCCGTTCATCCCTGCTGTGGGCTGCATGCAGCAGCGCTGCTTTGGGTCCTTCTCCAGCCTCCACCATCCAGCCTCGTCCAGCCTCTCAGGTAATGAGGGTGGGCTGGGAAGCTCAGGATAGACCCAAAAAAGACTTTGCCTTTTTTCTGGTCTTGGAGTCATTGTGCTGGATGGGTGTGAGGAGATCTCTGCCTGCACTGGGAGGGAGATGCCTGGCCTTTGCCTCTAGTGGGTGGGCATGCTGGTGTAAAGCCACAAGCTTATTGCTGTAGGGTGGTCTGCTTGTGCCGGGTTGTGTGACATCCTGCTCCTACCTCTGTCCAGACAGGAGACCAGCAAGCTCCTCCATCAGCTCCAGCTCTAGCCAGCCCCAGGAGCGCTGCCCGTCCACCCGGTCCTCCTCCTTCAGTGAGGGCAGGTCCCCTCTGGAGCAGCCCAGCTCTGCCACCCGCTTCCACGTCCCCTCACCCAAAGACCCCTTCTCTCTGACCAGCGATATGAGCTCCAGCACCACCAGCCAGAGTGAGGACACTTGGACGGGGAGTCAGGATGATCCGCAGAGCGATGCTAATGATGGGCCGGAGTACCTGGCCATTGGGAACTTGGGGCGCCGGGGCCGGGCGTGCAGCAATGCCAGCACCAACAGCACCAAGAGCAGTAGCTCCAAACTCTTCTCCTCCAGCAGCTCCCAGAAGCTGGACTCAGTCTCATCCCTGGGGGAGCAGGGGGCAAGTGGAGGTGGAAGCAGGGGTCTGAACCTGTTGCGCCGGTCCAGCTTCTCGGAGGGACAGTCGTCAGCTCCGCAGGGCATCCTCAAGAAGAGCCACATGCGCTCGCACTCTGACACCAACGTGGCTTCGGGGAAATTGCACGGTAATGGGGCAGCTTTTCTGGGATGGCTTTGGGGTGTGGAAGTCCCTGGTAACTGGAGGCTGATGCTGGCCACCCCTTTGACTCCATGGGTCAGGCCAGCGAGAGGAACAGTGGGTGAGTGGTTGGGAAATTTGGTCTTTGCCCTTAGCTTTCCTGCTCCGCACTGGAGTGATGGGCTGACATCTTGCCTCCCAGAATGCCCTGGGCTGGTGTGTTATTGGTATTGGCAGCTTTTACCAAAAACTTGGAAAATGGCAGCAATGCTGTGGCATTAGCCATTCTGCTTGCACAGCGGCCTTGCCTGGCTGAGGCATGGGGCCATGGCAGGGCACTGGGCTGGAGCTTGGGCTCATCCCACTGGTAGGATGTGATCCTGCTGGTAACCTGCTGAGTCCTCCTGTGCTCTTGAATGGGTGAATGCATGGCGGGTGAGGCGGGACTGGGATGTGAGGGGACAGCCAGTTTGTGGGATTCTGCCCTACCAGTGCTGCCTTCATGGGAGAAGTGGAGGTCCTTGCTGAGTAGTAACCAGTTTGTCTCTGTTTTCTCTCCCTTAACGCTGCCCTCCTCCTCCTCTGTCTGCCCAGGAGGCCTCAGGGATATCACCATTATAATAGAAGATCCAGTGGCAGGTTTGGGAGCCAGTATAACAGCCCTTCATTAGCGATCATTGCATCAAGTTCAGGAATTCCATCAACCCATTAGTGTCCATTTAGAAAAAAAAAATATTTCTTCCCTGTGTCCCAGCTGGTGCTTTGAAGGGTGGTCAGGTTTATTGCATGTGACCTGACTGAAGATCCCAGCTTGGTTGTTGGGAGCAGTGGACCAGACCAAGAAGGATGCCCAGCTCCCCTGCATGGTGTTGGGGAGTGCTGGCCACCGAGTCCCTGAGCTGCATCCCTGCCCTTCCCTCCACCCCACTGCCTTGGGAGCCAGGAGAGGTTTTGTCTCTCACCTAGCGAATAAGGCTGGCAGCTAAGCAGGCATGGGCTTGAACATCTTATTTTTCCTTTCATTTATTGGATCTGTGGCATGGGGAAGTTTGATGTTGGCTGAATTCAGCTTCATCCCAGCCAGCTGTGCTTGCACCCACAGTCAGGACTGCCGGGTGCTCTTCTGGGCTCAGGGCAGGTTTCCCCCTGAGCAGAGGTGCTGGGGTGCTGCCATCCCTTTGCCCCACATGCAGAAGGAGTCAGCAGCTCAAAAAAATGGGTTGTTTTCTTTTGCATCTGTTGAACAGCAGCACTGGGTTTGTCTAGCTCACAGCTGGGTGCTGAGGGCTCTGCAGCTGGGAATGCTCCTTCCTGGAGGTGGTGGGTGTTCAGACAGACGTGTCCAGCCCTGTGTCCTGCTCCAGCAGAGAATGCTGAGCACTGCCTCGCTTTACCCTTCAGCCGTAGGCTCTGTTGTATGTGGCATTCCCCCAGGCTGGTGATCATGAGGAGGTTTCTATGCTGGTATTCAGCAGGGTTGAGGTGGCTGCAGGATACCTTGCCAGGCTGCAGCGGTTAGCTGTGAGAGCCTCCCACCCCAACGGGTCTCCTTTGTCACCCAGCCTGTGGGGTGGGTTGGTCCCAAGCCCCGTCCTGGTGGATGCTGCTTCATGGTCTTGGCAGGGAGATGCTGGTGTTGATGGGTTCAGGAGCCTCCAGCCACATCAGGGTTATGGCCCAAAGCTGGGAGCAAAGAGGAGTAGGATATTGAGAGGATGGGGTTGCCCTTCTGTTGTGCTCGGGATGTCGGGATATCAGCCAGCACCTGCCCCGTGTCCACACTCATATGCTCCTGTCCTGCTCCAGTCAGGGTGTTTTCAGTCTCCTTGACCAGTCCTCCGTCACCCAGATGTTCCATCCAGGCGCTACCCGGGACCGTGGCTCTCTGTAGAGCACCATCTGTTGCTGGTCTCCAGTCAGGCTAGCTCCTGGCAGTCCCCCCCGGCTCAGCCTGGCAGGGAGTTGCACCAGTGTGTGCGTGGGGCAGAGCCCTGCCCACAGCCTATGTAGGTCACCTTGAGCACTGCAGCCCGGGCTTGAGGGTTGTCTGCGGGGAACTCTGGCTTCTAGTTGAGCAACAGCATGTCCTTCAGGTGCCTCCTTCCACTGCTGTCCAGGCTGCTTTGCAGGGCTGGGAGCCCCACAGATTCCTCAGCTGCTCAGGTTCCCCCTTGTCTCCTGACTCTCTGCCCTGGGGGATAATTTGTCCCTCAGAGATGCTCCAGCCTGAAGAAGGGGCTGGCAAAGGTGCTTGCTGGAGCCTGTTGTGTCCCCCAGCTCTGCTAGGGGGTAAAGAGAGGAAGGCTCAGGACTCGACTGCTCTGTGGCTCTCATGAGCTTCTCTCCTTCTTTCCCCTTCTCTCCTGCCTGAAATGCCCTTCTAGTTTCGTCCCCTCCTGGGCTTGCCCCAGCTGTGGCACAGAGCAGGAAGATGTCCCTCCTTGCTTCCCATACATTTGTGCCTGCCTGTGTGATGCTATGCCCCTTTCATTTCACCCTGTGCGATGGCCGGGTGCCTTCGGGATACTGATGTGTGCCTGGTGTTGTCTTCCCTTCCAGAGTCGCACGGCGATGCAGGTGGAGGGAGAGGGCCAGTCTCTGCTTCCACCCAGAGCAGTGAACTGAGCACACCCAGCTCCCTCTACATGGAGTACGGTGAGTACAGCCAGCCTCAGCAGGGACACTCGCTCCTGGTCAGGCTCCTCCATTGGCTGCGGTGGCCGTGGCTTCTGGCACCTTCTTGTGGGATGCTGGTTGCGCACTGGCAGGGCTCGTTAGCCTGGGGATAGCAGCAGGTCCCTCCGTCATATGTCTCTTGCTTTTCTAGACTCTGGACAGTACCTGAGCTCGGGGGAAGGGATGTTCAGAAGACCCTCGGAAGGGCAGTCCCTCATCAGCTACCTTTCTGAGCAGGACTTTGGCAGCTGTGCAGACCTGGAGAAGGTGAGGGAGGCAGCAGCAGCCTGTCTGCATTGGAGAATGTATCTTACTGCAGGTTCAGTGATACTTCCCTCCCTGAGGAAGATAATCCCGTAGTATTTCCTGCTATAGAGCTGTGCACAGAACTTCAAGGTTGAGTTCCTCAGTGTTGTCTGGCAGCCAGGATCTGCCCATCTAGCATATACACAGCAGCTTTGCAACATGTTAGGGCTCCTCAGGGACATGTGCTGACTCCCCAGAGTAGATGTGTTGCACATCCTCTTCGTAGGATGTCCCTTGTGTTTTGTGAGTATTCTGGTGCCCAAGAAGGCTTTAGTTTGTAGGTCCTCGTAGAAGAGTCAGGTTTTGTGGGGTTGGCAGGGATTAAGTAGGTAGGGTAGAAACACCACCCTCCATGAGTAATAAGCTCTTTCCTGTCACAGGTGGGGAACAAAAGTTTACCAAGTCTTCCTAGTTTTTCCATGGTACAGCCTTGAATGCTTTTGCTCTTGCCTTGCAGGAGAATGCCCACTTCAGCATCTCAGAGTCCCTGATCGCTGCCATTGAGCTGATGAAATGCAACATGATGAGCCGGCAGCTGGAGGAGGAGGAGGAAGACAGCGACAAGGAGATCCAGGAGCTTAAACAAAAGATTCGCATTCGGCGCCAGCAGATCCGTACCAGGCACCTGTTCCCTACCTGTCAGGAGATGGGCTCAGACAGTGGGTGCTGTGTTTTGGGCTCATCAGCTAGTGGGATGTGGGTTTTCTGTCCGTTGTCTGTCCTTATAGCATCCTGCCTTCCTGCCCATTTGTGGGAAACAATCATATTGCTACCAGGGTGCTGCAGAGATTTGTGAAACTCTGCTGCTATTGAAGACCATAATGGGATGGATACTATACATTGATAACACTTGTGTGCTGCTGGCACTGGAATGTAATTTCAGTTTGAACCCACAATGTTTTTCATCCTTGACCTCCGTCCCTCCATGCCCTGGCCATACCTGGCTATCAACTTCTCCCTTAGCTGTCAGTGACCCTTCAGACCGCTTCCACTGATGTCCTGGCTGTGTTGCATTTCTCCCAGGTCTTGTGGCAACAGACAGCGGGTCCCAGTTCAGCTCTCACGGCTCCATGCGACTCTCTGACTCCGGCTCCATGGAGGATGTGGAAGAGTACGAGATCCGAGGTAGGAGGGAATGGCTGTGTTGGCTTCTTGCATAGAGACAGACTTCTCCTTGGTGTGGTTGTGTTGAGGTCAGTCCCACTGAAGAAGAGCATGTCCCTCTGGCCTTCAGGATGGCTTTTCCCAAACAAATGGCTGAATTCTGAGCATGAGCAGAGCAACCAGTTTCCCTCATGTGGTGGCATGACTTTCCTGTGAAATCCTCTGTAATCCTCCAGTGCTCAGTGCCTCTGGCTGGTAGGTGGTTTCCACTTCATTGCCTGGTCCGCATAGCGGCTGTCACAGCTAGAGAGAGGTGGGAGAGCTGCCATCCTGCTCTCCTCCTCCCCAGGCAGAAGGAGCCATAGCTCTGACCACTTATCTCTTGGGTGGCAGTGGTGGGCACTGGTCACGTCCTGACCTGTAATAGCTGTAGTCTCTGCTCCTGGCAGCTTGGGTGGCTGAGCTTGTCACCCACAGGAGACCTGTCTGGGTCCCTGGGTGACTTTTTCTTTCAGAGCCTTGTTCATCCTCCGAGGTGGATGACTTCTCAGCAGTACCTCCATCTCACTGACTTTAAAAAGGAAGATGGAGCAGTCCAGTCTCCAGCTATAAACTTCTCATCTCTTGACTGTTGACAGCAAAGCCCTTCTTTCAGTCCCTGAGGGCTAGATTTTGGGCTCAGTTTTGAAGCCCATGGAGGGGTGTGTGAATTCAGTTCTGGGCTTCTCTTGTGCGAGTGCTGCTCTTGTATTATGCCCTTTCTCTTTGGCCTAGCCAAAGCACTGAAGTCAACTGTTTTGTCATCACCGTGTTATACAGATGGTAACGATGGATCTAACCTGATTCAAATGTGCAAGAACGGCCTCTCAGTGTCAATGGCTTCCTTGTTCTCAGGTAGTACCCTGCAGTGCTCCCCTGCGGCACGCGTGTGTGTGTGCAAGGTGTGTGTGTGTGCGTGCACGTGCACACTTCTCAGAAATCTGCCTGATTTGGGAACTGTGAACAGTATCATCCAGACGTCAGTGAGAAAAGCTGTGGCAGGATGATATGGCAGGATGGAGTAGAGAGAAGGCAGAGGAGCTCTGCCGTGGGCTCCATCCCCCAGGGCATTTTGCCATGCAGTATTTTGGATATACTAAATGTGTCTGCTGTAGTGAAGACCTGTCTCGCCTGGCGTAGGGCTTGGCACGGCAATGGCATAGCTTTGTGGCTTTGTAGCTGCTGAAGGCTGGATGAGAGCAGAGTCCTCTACAGTGTGGGACCAGGTCTCCATCCCAGGTGCCTTGGGGAGCGTTATCCTGCTTGACTTGGCAGAGCTGGCATACCGTAGCTCTGATCTGAACCATGGCCAACCCTTCCCGTTCTGCTCAGACTTGACTTGGAAAAGAATCCTTCCAGAAGGAAGTCCTGGAGGGAGTAGTGAGAGCAGAGAGGTCACAGGCAGTTTGTTCACACTGGAGGCCCTGGGTACCGGGATCACATGCAGCCAGGTCTTGCTTAGTGTTTTTATGGTTTACAGTACTGCGAGATAATTCTTCCAGTCTGCTGGCCACATTTAAATAACCTTCATGTGCTCCATGTTTGCTTTAGCAAGGGAACAGCCTACGTGGGCTGCTGCTGGTCTTTTCTGTCAGGTGTTTGGCGCCAGCACGTTGCTCCTGCCGGAGATGCTGGTGCTCAGAGCTTTCCCATCAGCCCTGCTGTGTCCTGTGTTTACAGCCCAGGGGTTTAATCCAGGGGGGCTCATCCTGGCCTGAAGTTGGCATACGGGGGCTGGGGTGACGTCATTGGGTTTGGGGGCTGATGAGCCTTCTGGGACTATCCCACCTGGTGATAGCATTGGCAGCAGAGGCGTTTTGTGCAGCTAACTGGAGGCTTTTGGGGAGTGTCTGTAGTTAAGGTCGGGAAGCGAGCTGTGGCAGGATTCTAGTGCTAGCCCCTGCGGGAGCCTAGGGTCAGATTTGGCTTCCTCTGCCATCCCTGAGACGATGCCATTGCCTGAGCGTGCCGGCTCTGCCTCCCCATAACGCCTGGCCCACACTATGCTGCATGTGCCCCACTGTTTGCTTATGTTCATCGTAGTCTAGGACCATGTGGCACCTTCCTGCACAGAGCCGAAGGGACCAGAGCATGTCTGGCCAGTGCCCTACGTGGTCGGGAGGCTATGTTTGCCTGAATTCCCTGTTTTCTGTAGCTAGAAGTCCGTTCACATGATGTAGATATGTGGATTCCTTAGCGTTAGGATGCTTTTGTGTCTGTTTCTAGCAATAGATGTCAAGAAGGGTCAAGCATCTATCTATGCTGAGCTCCACTAGCGTGAGTGTGTAAATTTACGGGCAGCACTGGGACTTGCTCCTCTTGCTGCCAGGGCAGCCCCACTCTTCTTAGGGGAGCCGACACCTTGGGGGGTGGTACTCTTCTCTCAGCCAGGCTGTGATTCCCTTGGCCTCGGTGTGCGGTTCGTGTCTGGCCGGGATCAGGGGGGCTCTGTGTGGGTCTGCGTAGCTGACCTGCTTGGGGTGGAAGAGCAGGGACCCCAAGCTGTGCCTCCCCTAGCCAGGCACTGGGCAACTGGGTTCGTGGGAGCTGCAAGCCTGTGTTTGGGGGTGGTGTGGTCACTGCAGACCCCGTTCCTAGGGCTCCCCAGCGATACAAAACAGGAGACCTACTGTGCTGAAGGTTGTGGCACTGGCCTCTCTTCTGTCTTGACCTGTAGTATTTTTCCCTTGCATGCCCTCCTTCCCTTTTCTGCGAGTCTGTCTGCAGTGAAGCAGGGTTTCTGCCTGCCTTGTACTGCTGGAAGTAGTAGGGTCCCTGTCCCAGGGTTCTTCCACCGTTGAGATGAATTCCCTGTCAGGGTTTAACCTGAAAGAAAGATGAGTGATGAAGGTACCTCTGGGTACTGCCTGGTACCCAAGGCTGGCGCCGAGGAGGGATGCAGGGCAGCCCAGGGCTGTTGGGGAGCTGATGGAGGGGTGGAGGGAGCAGGACCCCAGTGTCCTGCACCTTATCTTGGACCCCTCCCTCCTTGGGAGATGGGTCTGTGGCCTCTGCAGAGGGCTGGCCCCTGTGGCTGCTGGCCTGCTCTGCGTGGATGCTGATGCGTCTCTGGAACGCTGGGCTTAGGCTGCCAGCCCGGGCTGTGCAGTTGCTGACAAACTGTGGCATGGCCACTGTCTGATCTTACAGGTTGCAGTCAAGTAGAGAGAAGGGCTCTGCATCCCGTTGCTAATCCTCTGCAGCATCTATACTGTGTGTAGAGAGCTACTAAACCTTCTTGCTAACCTTGCTGTCCTGCCCTCCTAGCTCCTGTGTGTGTACTGTTTCAGGCCATGTCACTACTAGGACGTGGTGCATGACCTGTACCAGCAGCCACTTGTCTCCCCCAAACCCCAGGCTCACTGTTTTCACAGCACCCCACCGTGTCCTTCCCTTGTAACTCTGACAGGCAACTGGTTAGACTGCACCTCTCCTTGCTGCTCAGTGCCACCGGTAGAAGTTGATGCTGTAGTTCACGTGCTTTTGAACAGCTTGATGAGTTTTACAATGAAGCTTTGGTTTGAAAGGAGTGTATCCCCCTGCCCTGCCCCATCTGCTCCACCTTATCTGTTTGTGATTCAGATGCAGACATCAAGAGGAACCCAGAATCCAGCAGGAAGTCCTTTCTCTCCTCGGAGTCCATGTACGTCTTCGACTCGTGGCGAGACATCTTGGTACCAAGTTCCCCTTCCTGCCCAACTCTGCTCTTCCATGTGCATCAGCTGCTGTTTTGCACCGTAGTGGACAGCTGTCCTTCCCTCCCTCCTTCCTCCCTTTACTTAGCAGTGGCGCACTGGGTCCTAGTCTTAAATTTGGGAAGCGGCATCTGGGATGATCAGGATATTCACATGAGGTAGATATGATATGGACTGGTGTCAGGAGAGATGCCCATACTTCCTAGTAGGTAAGAGGCTGGGGAGAGGACCTGGCACAACCTGGAGCATGTGGACTGGCTGCTGGCTTGCTGCTGGCTCTGAGCCTCCCCTGCCTCCCCCCTCCCAGCTGGGACGGCCTGTTAGACTACATGGTGCTGCCACCTTCTCTCCAGCCCTCGCTGCTGTGCTGTGACCCAGAGGTGGAACTGCTGGCACACAGCGATGCTCACAAACTCTGTGTGCAGTGCAGCAGCAGCTTAAGCGTGAAGTGCTGAGCCCTTTCCTGGTGCTGCCCTGGGGTGGAGAGGTGGGGGCTGTGGGGAGGTGAATCACAACCTGCTTTAAGCACAGCTGCTGTGTTAATGCTCTGAAAGCAAAACCCCTTTGGGATGCTGGGACCCCTCTGCTCGCTGGGTGAGATACAAAGCTGTGCCCATACTTGGCAGCTTCTTGGGTAGGTTTGTACTGGGAGAGCAGCTACTTCTGGCTTTGTACAGACACTGGCTCTCACTTTGCAGCTTCCCCTGCAAACAGGCACAGGTTTTGTTAAGTAAGGTATGTTTTGCTTGCCTTTCTAAACAGTTGTTGTTGTGCCATTAGCCAGCTTTGCTTGGGGGCAGCTGCAAAGACAGAAATCAATCACATATATCATTTTTAAGCCTGTATAGTAGTGCAGAAATAAGGTACCAAAGTTGAAGGGAGCATCTTTGGCTTGAGCTGGGACCAGCATCAGGGTTGTGAGGAGGACACAGCTGTGAGAGCTGGTACTAACCACTTCCTTCGCTGTCTAGATCCCACTCCTTCCTCAATTCCAACTCGGCAGACGCCGTGGCCATGGGCTTGTTGAAGCAGTTTGAGGGCATGCAGCTCCCGGCTGCCTCTGAATTGGAGTGGCTGGTCCCCGAGCACGACGCCCCGCAGAAGGTAGGGGTGTGAGTCACCAACAGCATTTGATCTTCCCCAAACCGCTGGCTTCATCCCACTGCCAAGGGGCTTTGCTAGTCCCAGTGATCCCTTTGTGGAGCCGGAGTTTTTGTCCAGGCTCCAGAGATGGGTGCAGCCGAGCAGGGCTCTGCCACTGCAGGCTTCCTACAGCAGAGTGCCCCAATCCCTGGGGACACCCCTTCTCCAGCCCCCATTCAGCTGGAGCAGCAGCTCAGTGCCTGCCAGTTTTCCAGAGAGCTGCAGTTGCAGGTTTCTGGCAAGCCAGCCAGGTGCATTGCCTTTGTGATACCAGGCAGGAATCTGACCCTCTTGCCTGCATCTACCAGCTCCTGCCCATACCTGACTCTCTGCCCATCTCTCCCGATGACGGAGAACACGCCGACATCTACAAGCTGAGGATTCGGGTGCGCGGAAACCTGGAGTGGGCCCCGCCACGACCACAGATCATCTTCAATATTCACCCAGACCCAACGTAAGGATCCGCATGGCCGAGGGATCTCTGGGGACCTGCCCTTTCCAACCTTTTTCCATCAACACCAAGGTTGATTATCCTCTCCTTCCCACTTCACTGCTGGGGCTTCCCTGCTCTGAGCCTGGTAAATCCACAGTGGTCACCACTGGCAGCTGGTGCTGTGAGATGGAGCCAGTGCCTGCAGTCGGTGCCTTTGGGTGCACCAGGGCACAGCAGGGCTTTTCCCCTTGGATTTGTTGTCCACACTTAAGTGGCAAAGCATGTGGCCATCTCTGCCATTCAGACCCGTGCCAGCGCCCATCCTCTGGTGCCAAGTGCCATCAGGGCTGGAGTCATGTGTGTTGTCTTCTATCTCTGGGCAGGAGGAAAGTGGCTGTGGCCAAGCAGAATTACCGGTGCGCAGGCTGTGGCATCCGGACTGATCCTGGTGAGTGCTGGGACCATGACCCATAGCTGGAGAATGGGGAAGAAAAGTGGGAGATACAGAGTGGGTGGGTGGTGGCAGAGCTGAGCCCAAGGTCAGCAGGGAAATGGTACGCTGCCTTTGCCAGCTCTGCCTGCACATTGGTGTGCACCACCCACAGAGGAGCCTCCTTCTCCAGAAGGTCACAGGGCTGGTGGAGGCAAAGAGCAGCCTGTTCTTTGGAGGGCATTTCAGATGTTGACTCTTCTAAGGCAAAGACCTGTTGGGGTCCTAAAGCTCCCAGCAGCTTCTGCTGTGGGTACAGCTGCAGAGCTCTCTGACCAGCTGTGTTTCCTGAATGTGTAGGTAGATGTGGGTGTGTGAGACTGGACTGTGGTCCCAAATGCTTTTGTGGTTGGCAGGGGTGCTTGCAGACCCCAGTGTTGAGTGCTCTGGGGCTGGAGGAGGTACTGGCAAGGCAGGCTGCCTTGCTTGTTGGAAATGCTGAGCAACATTGGGAGTCCAATATGTGGTTGGGCAGAGCCCGTGCCTCAGCTGACCGCCCTGTCTGCCTGGGTTTGGCCAGATTACATCAAGCGGCTGCGGTACTGTGAGTACCTGGGGAAGTATTTCTGCCAGTGCTGCCACGAGAACGCCCAGATGGTCATCCCCAGCCGTATCCTGCGCAAGTGGGACTTCAGGAAGTACTATGTGAGCAACTTCTCCAAAGACCTGCTGGGCAAGATCTGGAGTGACCCACTCTTCAACGTGCAGGATATCAATCCTGCCCTGTACCGGAAAGTGAAGTCTCTCAACCAAGTGTGGGTAAGACCCTTTCCACGCCTTCCTGAGTGCAGTTTGGCTGAGGTGGGTGGCTGCCAATTGTAAAACCCTATTCCAGGGAAGCTGGGGAGAAGCAGCTCTTTCAGTTTTTGAGGCTTAAGACCTCAGCACCATGGGTTTCCATTCACCTCTTGTTCTTTGTCCAGTAACGCAGGAATTTCAAAAGGAATTTCTGCCTGGTGTCCAGCTGAGCTTTCGTTTATGTCCTGGAGCACGTGACGATGGTGGTGCTTGCTTTGCCCTGCATGGTGTAAACACTTCGGTAGCAGGGGAGCAGCAGCTGAGGAGCAGCGGTCATTTCACCAGCACAGGAAATGGGGCAGACCTGCTTGGCCAAGGACTGTGCTCTGTTTACTGATTCTTGTGTCCCCCCTTCCTCTCTAGCTGCTGCGAATCCAGCTTTTCCACATGAAGAACATGTTTAAGACGTGCCGGCTAGCGAAAGAGTGAGTCCCGGGCTGTGAGATGAAGCTGTTTTGCTGTCCTGGATCTGTCCCATGGCAATTTGCACTGGGCATCTGTGCAGCCTGTGCAATGAGCAACAAGGGAGAGGGGAGTGGAGGGGGAGAGAAAGCAGAAGCAGTGGAGAAAGGGGGCTTAGTGGAGTCGCTTTGCTCTGAGCTCTGGTTTCTCTGTCCTTGCAGCCTCCTAGACTCCTTCGATGCAGTGCCTGGCCACTTGACGGAGGATTTGCATCTCTACTCACTGAGCGACCTCAGTGCCACGAAGAAAGGGGACCTGGTGCCTCGCCTGACAGAGCTCCTGAAGGCAGGCAGTCTGCACGTTGAGAAGTGCATGGTAAGGCTGCCTTGCCTGCTTCCTACACGGCTCTGGACCCTCAGGAGCGACCTTGGGAGCGGGCTTTGCCAAGATAACCGATGGGGAGGCCTTTGACATGCAGGGCAGTCACCAAATTAACTGATTCAATGCTAACTGCTTCTGCCTGCTCCACAGAGCTCCTACCCAGCACATATGGGATGTCCCATTTTGGCTCTCCCTGACTCCTGACACATGTTGATTCTGCCTTGCTGTGTTCCATTCTGGGGAAGGGCTGTGCCACATGGTTAGAGCAGGGCCCTGTGTCCTCCTGCCCTGCTTGCCAGGAAGATGAGGAGCATTTAGCTGCTTTTTCTTCATCTTTTTTCCTTCCAGTTGTGCCAAGCCAAAGGCTTCATCTGTGAGTTTTGCCAGAATGAGGGCGACATCATCTTCCCCTTTGAGCTCAACAAGTGTAGGACATGTGAAGGTGAGATGCTGGGGAGAAACAGGGAGGGGACAGACCCTGGAGCCACCAAGCTCTGCCTCCGGTTTGAGTGGCATTTGTGCTAGCGAGAGGTACAGAGCCAGAGCCAGCCAGACCAGAGTGCCTCTGTGCATGGCCTGTTTCTCTGCACCACGTTATCACAGCAGCAAATCAGCATTATAATGGTGTTTGGCCAGAGCTGCTGGCACGGTGGAGCGTGTAGGTCCCTTCCTGACCACGCTGCGTGCTGCCTGCCCCGGCAGCAGCAGGCTGTCTGGTTGTGACTGCAGCAAGCAGGTGTCTGGCAGTCCTGGCTTCCCTTCTGCTGTGGTTATGGGACAGGCTGCAGCCTGCATACAGCTCCCCTGTCCCTGCTTGGATGGCTGGAGCTGACCTTGTAGAGCAGAGAGAGCCTGAAGGCACTGTCTCTGTGCTCTTCCTGCCTGCCAGCAAATCCCTGGGCCCCATCAGGAGTCATCATTGATAAAGCCCAGTACTAATGGCCAAGCAGAGCTTGTCTCTGCAGCTTGGGACCAACCTCTGAACTGGCTTGAAATGGCCCTTGACAACGTGCAAGCCTTGGTTTGGCAGGTGCAGTGCCAGAAAAAACTTCGGGCAGTCACTGTTTCCTTGGAGAATCGGGAAAGTTTGGGGCGGAACCTTGTGCCGAGCAGGAAACCTCCCACCTGTGCTCCCAAAGGCTTTGCAAGCCAGTGCAGGGACCCTGCAGCATGACTTCTTGCTGCTTCCAGAATGGTGCTGGACCCCTGCTTCTGGTGCTTGTTCAGCCATGGCTTTGGTTTGAAATGTCCTCCTGGACAAGCCTGGAGCATCCCTCCCCGGGTGTGGAGTGCCAGGCAGTCTGTCTCAGCCTCTGCCAGCTCTCAGCCATGCTCTCCCCCGCAGAGTGCAAAGCTTGCTACCACAAGTCCTGCTTCAAATCCGCCCGCTGTCCCCGCTGTGAGCGGCTTCAAGCCCGGAGAGAGCTGCTGGCCAAGCAGAACATGGAGTCCTACATCTCGGACTACGAAGACGAGTTGGAGCAGCCGGAGGCAGTGGCAGCCACATGAGCACGTTGCAGCGGAGGAGCAGAGTGGGGGTTTATTTAAGTGCATGGCCTTCGTCACCAGAGACTGATCCACATGGACTGGAGATGAGGAAGACTGTCAGGAGGCCTGGAGCACTGTCTTGAAGGGATCTGTTTTCCCCATGCAGTAGTGCTGGGCTGGGGAAGGGGCATCTTCCATCATCTGAGTCTGCTCCAGGTACTGCTTGCACTCCCTGATGCCTTTGCTTGGGGAAAGGCAGCTGCTCCTGCCTGTCCTGCAGGCAGAACAGGGGCCTTTTCCAAGCAGTTGTTCATGCTGGACCAGGCAGGGCTTGTGCAGCCAGTCCCTGTGCCCTGCTCCGTGGCAGGGTCCCCTGGGGAGTCAGCACTTTCTGCTCATCAGCTGTATACTAGGAAGCTGTATACTAGGTCGTCTGCTTCTTGGAGGGGGGAATTGGCTCTCCGAGTCCTCCAGTCCCGTGTCCTGCTGCTGAGGGTTGTGTGTATGGAGAGAGGGTGGGGCTTTGGGGTTGGTTGTACATTGAACAGCTCCCTTTCTCAAATCTGGCTTGGGACACTGCTGGAGAGCAGTTGCTCTCACTCCAGGATCAGAGCAGAGGAGGTGGCAGTGGTGAAAATGCCAGATTTCTGCCTTGCCTCTCCATGCTGTCTGTGCCAAGCTGCTTTCCCTGCCCTCTGCCCGCAGCCTGTGCTGCAGAGGGGCATTGCCCCCCGAGCAGCTGCACAAGGGGACTGGTGCCGCTAGGCTTTCAGTGGAGGCAGACCCCCATGGCTGGAGGATGCAGTAAGCGAGGGTTCCAACCCTGCTTTCTTCTCACGCTGCCGGTCTGTCCTCCCCAGGGGACATGTCCTCCTCTAAGGGTGACATGGGACCTCACTCTGGTGGCACCAGGACCTGCCTTGCGTGCAGCTGCCTTCTGCCCGAGACCCGCTGGGATGTGGGTGAAGGCTCAGCCCTCTGGCCGCATCCCCTGAGCCTCTGTCTCGGTTTGTTCTTTTAGGTTGGGGTTTTGTTTTTTAATCTGCTGGATTTGGTTTTATTTTTTTTAATGCGATTGTTTGTATTTTTAATTGTGTGTTCCCCCCAAAGGAAGTGCTGCTTGAAATGCCTCTTTAGGGGACATGCGATTTGCTTGGGACTCACCGGTATAAAATCTCCAGGACTGTCCTGCTCCTGGTTCCTCACCCCTGGATGGGGCTGGCGTTTGCCAGGTGTCCCCACTCCCAGCAGATCTCCTGCTCCCCTTGGGAGAGGGGTCCCTGAGCCAGGCAAAGCCTTGAGGCTTCCTGGCTGTGGTGCAGCGGGGTGGCCCCGCAGCCTGCTTGCAGTGGGGGGTGCACGGGGGAGAGGGATTTGGCACCAGGGTGCTGCAAAGCATTAGTCCCTTGCTGATGCAGAGCTACCTGCCACGACTGACGGCTCTGCGGGATCGGACCTGGCAGTGCAAGGTGAACTCTGCACTCTGGGGCTAGCAGTCAGTCGAGGAGGTGCCTCTGCATCGCAGGGGAATGCTTTAGCCCATGGCATGGGTGAGTGTCCAGCAGCACCTTAGCATGGGTGGGATGTGGGGTGGCAGTGGGGTGTTTGGAAGGATGGCGTGGGCTGTGTACGTGCGAGAAGGGCATTGAGGGACCAGGGAGCAATACACTGGCAGAAGGCATCCTAGAGGCAATGGCTCTTGCAGCGCATGCCTTGGCTTGAGGCTGGGATGTGGCCCCCCCATGGGCTGTCCCCGTGGGGTTGGCAGGGTTGGGGCAGGGAGGGGAGAGGCTGGGACCAGGAGAGGTGGCTGCAGGGCTTGGTCGGGGAGGGTGGCTGCAAGCCTCGCTGCTGGGGGCCAGGCTGCTGCATGGCAGCATCTCTCCCCTGCTCTGCAGCATCCTGACAAACCCAGGTCTAGCCTGGGTAAGGGGATTCAGCTCCCCACTCACTCCCCTGGGGTTTTTGCCGCCTCCTGTCTTGCTTCTGCTTGTTTTCCCTAGGGGAGCAGTTGCTCTCCCACTCGCTCTCTGTCTCTGCAAGCCCTGGGGCTGCCAGACGCTGGTCCACCTTGGTCTTGCCTGTCCCCAACCCCAAGCTGAGCCCTCCCGCTGCTGCCCGGAGCTGGCACCCCCTTCCTTGGAGCAGCCTCAAGCAGCACACCTCCATCCACCTTGTTTTGTTTGAAGCACTTTAATGTCATGGGACAGCAGCAGAGAGGCTGCCCATGTCCCTTTCTAGAAGCACTGAGTACATTTAGAGAAGAGGGAAGGGATTTTTGGTTTATTTGTGGTTTCCACCCTCCGCCATAGACTTTGTCTGGAAGCAGCGGGACTTGCAAACCCAGTGGAAGTCTCCAGGGCAGGGTTGTGCCCAGCACTGACACTGCTGCCCAGCACTGACTGCTACGAGTAACACTGGAACTGGCCAAGGCAGTGAGCTCTTTATAAGGGAGAGTGCCGTTAACTGGAGCCCTCCCCACGGGACTATTGCACAGCGTAGCAACGAAAATGCTGTCCCTAATAAACTAAGTTAATAAGGGGCCTGGTTGTGTTGTGGCATCGTTTCAGGTGGGGTAACTGTGTATCCCCGCCTTGGGGTCAGTGCCGCAGTGCCTGTTGGCCCCTGGGGCAGGGAGGGAGCAGTGGGGGGACAACTTGTGCAACTGGTGATGCAGTGCCAGGTGTCACTGGGAGGGGGTTATTGTCACCACCCCTTGACTAATCCATCTGGTTTGTGGCCTCCCCCTGAGAACTGCCCACTGGACTCGGGGCAGGAGGTACAAGCCCCTGAGTAAGGGGCTCTCTGTAACGCCTGCCCCCTTCCTGAGCCTGCCTTTGCTGCTGGCAGAGGGGCCCAGGGCATGGCCTTGGCTGCCCCAACCCTGCATGCAGCCCTGTCCCATACAGCCTGGCTCTCCCCTCGTAGCAGTGGTGCATCACCCCATAAACACCATAGACACAGGAGATACAAACTGTAAACTTTAAAACAACTGCCGAAGGACACGTGTGCAAGCCCAGCGCAGTGCAGGCTCCCCATGGAGCAAAGCAGGGCTTCCCTGCAGGCAGCATGGCGTGAGTAGCCAGTTTCTGAGGGCTTTTGCCCAGAAAAGCCCTGCTCAGCCTCCATCTAAGCTGTGGTTAGCAGCAGCAACGGCGACTTGGGCTTACTCCTGAGCACAGTGGTTATAGAAAAGGTTTCTGGCAGGTATGGGCAGGCTGAGGACGGGCTCTCGCAGGTGCCAGGAAAACTATGGCAGGCAGCA